CGTTATCTCTCTCTCTCTCTCTCTCTCTCTCTCTCTCTCTCTCTCTCTCTTGTTTTTGCCTTTTCCTTTTATTTGTACGTGGACTCAGACCACCTTTATTCTCTGAAGGGCTAAGAAGGAGGGGACGGCCTTGGTCTCTGGGAAAGCGACGAGAAGCCAGATTCCCTGAGGCATGGACCCCTTAAACAAATAGGCCATGGAGCTTTTGGCCATTTCACCCTCACAGCTTTCCTCTCCTCGTTTTCCTCTTCCCTTCTTTCCTTCCTTCTCGCTCTTCGTCGTTTCACTGCATGACTGCGTGCTCTCCTACCACCGGCCTTCCCCGTCTTATGATTCGCTAACGAATTCTTGGTGGCATGCATGGATTTTTGTGACTTCTTGGCCTCTTTTGCTTTGTTCTTCCATATCACAATATTCCTACGTCCATAAATACGTGCGACGCCGCCCAATACAGAGAAGAGTTCAGAAGAACGACAGAGAGAGAGAGAGAGAGAGAGAGAGAGGATAAGAAGTTACTCCTCTGATTGGATGATGAGCTCAAATCAAATCCAACAAGACGCTGCGCAGATAAAAGTAAATGTCCCTCTGTCTCCTATTTGCGTGTGTGTGTGGATGTTAATGGATCCATGAATGCACATGCACATAGATTCCTCCTTTGGGGATAAGTAGGACCCCATAATGCTGTAAGATTAAAGACAGTGCATTACAGTCACTACATGAACTTAAAAGGAACTTACCCTGCAAAATCTGATGCCAAAATAGTAATAATAATAATAAGCTTGATCAAGTGATAACAGGAGGACAATAATGCACTGACATTCTCGAGATATTACGGAGATTAAAAATAACATTCATATTTTTCCGAGTGAGCGGAACATAATATGATCAAACTGACATACTCGAGAAATCAAATGGCCAGAATCCACTGTAGTTAAAACCCTTTTTATCTCTGCATGGAGCAACGGAGGTGTCAAAACCTACAAACAAGATGTATGATCATACGTACATCGGAGAGTACACGTACGTCTCACACGAACATGCCAACGCATCTATACACATCGATACATGCTGGTCAAAAGTTGTTCTTCCCATCTATCTCTTAAAAGATGAGAACTCAAGGCTTTAATCTGAATGGAATCATACCAAAGTGCAGAAAAAAGGCTTCACTTGGAAACATTGCCACTTTAAGCGAGATTATAAATCTACAAGTCGTAGAACCCACCCTTTCCAACGTAATGTTCCTCGGAATGGTGATCATCTAGCTCTTGGAGTTGCAGCACCCTCCATGGAGGGAAGACAAGCACAACACACCCACATCCATAGACAGACAGATGGATAGATAGATAGATAGGTAGAGAGAGAGAGAGAGAGAGAGAGAGAGAGAAAGAGAGAAAGAGAGAGAGAGAGATGGAAAATGAAGACCCTAAACATTCATTCCTATTTCACAATTTCAGGGAATACCTAAACCTTAGCTACTCCTTGCTATTTCAAGATACCCCTAGTAAGAAAAATCAAGCCAATCATATTGATATGATGCTATGACAAATCCTCAGATCTGTACGAACGTTTTGGATGTACAAGTATGTCCTGTACTTGGATGTAATTGGAATGACATATACAGTCGGAAGAGAATACCGATGATGTGAACAATGAGATACACGTTTGAAGGCGGAGATGAGATGAGAAGAAACATTGTTGCTCATATCAATTTGGACAAGTCGGAAATACTATGCTTTAACGTCTCATGCATCTGATTTGTGTAACCATAGCTATGGTAAGATACTGCGACATTAAGAAACAGGAAGAACACCAATCCCAATAATCTGAAACGAGAAACCTACCTACCATCTCTAGAGTTCTTTTAGACAGCTTGTAGTAGCATATGCCATCCACCATCACAGAGGTTAAGTCGGGCTATAGTGATCTACTGCTTGCTTCGTCCTTCTTTCTCGAGTCAAGTGGTTGGTTTCGAAGCCATGGCAAAAAACGTAAGCTTCCATGTTGTGAGGTCCCTGCAGGAGAGATACAATTACAAGATACTGCCAGATGAAGAGTTGAATCCGGAAAGATCCGTCGCCCATCCACCGGTGCCGCTACTGCTGGCTCCACCGCCGCCGCCGCCGCCGCCGCTGCCGCTGCCGCTCCAGAATGGATCGTTGCGAGACATGCCAAGATGCGGTCTGGGGAAATTGAACAGCTGTTGACTGTCTTCCATCTTCACCGAAGCCAGCTGCGTGATGAGCCCGGAACCAACCGGTTTCGTTTGAACTTGCCATGTAAATGATCCCCCGACGAACCCGCCGCCTTCACCAACGAAAGGGAAGAACCCAGAAGTTGGCGCCGGTGCCGGTGGCTGGGG